GGGAAAAATGCCTCTTTAAAGACTTCGTGTTTAGGGTCCTGGCTGAAACTGGGGATTTCCCAGATGTAGAGATGTGGGTAAAGCCATCCTCAGATGGTGGGTCTGTGAGTATTGACAGGACTCCAAATTCTACTTGACTAGTAATATTAAAATAACTAAAAAAAAAACAGAGGTTGAGTCTGTCTTGAGCACCACAGTTTCACAGCCTTATTATCACTGTGCTTTGAACATAGAACAAGATAAATAAATATTTAAGTGAATTGAATTGAATTATGTTAATATGAATCAATGCAGAAATCTTAGGGTGACTCATCTCAATAGACTGATTTTACCCCACCCCCAAATAATTAGTACCATTAGTTTGAAATATAAATGCTCATGTCTTTTTTCTAGTTTCCTTCTTTCTTCCCTCACACTCTGTTGTCACTGTTTTTTCTTTTTACCCAAACCATTTTTTCAAGTCTTTGGGACATTATTTACTCCACCCCACTCCTTTTTGTCTCTAAGAATTTGATTTTCTTTGTTTTAGTGGATTCACAGCAACATTCTCTTCATTCATTTCTTTGCCTCTTTTCTATCTTAACCACAGCTGCTAGAATTGCCCTTTTTCTTTCTATTACCCTTTCACCATCTTATTTCCCTTGTCAAGACCCATTTTCTCACCCATTTTGGTAAATGCAAAGACTCACCTCCCTTCCCCAAGGCCTATTTTTCTGTTTAATTTCATGCTATCACTGCAACAGGGTTACTTCCATTTAGCTTTCCTGTCTTTGCAGTTGTTTAAAAATCTAATTTAAATTCATCTAACCATCTTTAACTTTGGGAAGAGGATGGAAAGAACGCCCTTCTGCTGATATAACAGATGAATTCCTTTTGCTATTGGTCTGCAAAATGAAACCGTATTAACCTGGAAGTTCCTACTAAAAGAAGTGTGATAATAAAGAAGCAAAATTGAGTTTTATACTGTATAATAAATACTGTGAAAAGGATGGCATGGGAATATTTACCCTTGGCAAGAAAACTCTAACAGACATAAACGTTTGTACATGAACAACAAGTTGCCAATTATAATTCTGCCCAAATCTTTTATAAACTTGAAAGGATGTGCAATTTCCCAACTCAAACATTTACAACTCTTTTTTTTTTTTTTTTGGAAGTTAGCTGTTTAGAACTCTGATTTTATCTTCCTAGAGGAATCATAATATAAATATAGCTTATTTTCCCAGCCCAATTCACAAAAGCCTATTCCTAATGTACAAAACAAAACAAAACAAACAAACAAAAAAAAACACCTTGTTGTACAATAGAAACAATACTGGTAATTCTCCTAATGAAAAAATCCATTGAGAGTTGGAATTTGGGAGTTTAGAAGCTTTCTCTCACAATACTAACCAGTCATAGGGAGGGTCATCCTTGGGTGACACGGTTATGACTCAGGAAGGGGATTTTGAGAACCACCCTGTTTCCCCCCAAAATAAGACAGTGTCTTATATTAATTTTTTCTCCCAAAGTTGCGCTAGGTCTTATTTTCAGGGGATGTCTTATCTTTCCATGCGCTAGGTCTTATTTTCGAAGGATGTCTTATTTTCGGGGAAACACGGTAGTTGAGGGAACTTTCTTGGAGAAAGCTTGTTTAGATGGCAAACTTTCTTCTTCCTTTTCCTCCCTTAACTAGTTACAAAAGGAAATACAATGAGAAGGTAAAGAGAAAGTTTTGCAATGTCTGTGCGCTTCCCTCTCCCCACAGTTAAAAAAAAATGTCCTAGGAAGACACAGGGATGAGGGAGGAACAGGATCAGCAGGGAAGAAATGCAGGTAAATTCGTTATTTTGAATCTTATATTTATAAATAACAAAAAATAAGTTATGAAGAGTTTTAGCTGATAAATCTCATAAAATCAGGGAAAGTGAATAAGATAAAAATTTAAGAAAAAAAGTGGGTATCTTTTTAAGTTACCGAACAGACGATGAAAAAAAAAAAATAGGAAGACATACCCTGTTATTATGTACACTGTATATGACTAAAATACTTTTTAGTGTCCCAAATAACAAAACATGGACATTTTAAGAAAAATTTGATCAAATAAAAGAAACCTTTCCATTATTTAAGAGCCTATTATAATTTACTAATTCAGTTTGTTTACTTTTTCATTATAAATCTGGATGAAACAAGTTTAATGAATAGTTTATATACAATTACTCAAAGAAAAAGTGGATTCATGCTAAGGTGGTATTGTATAACTGTATCAATACTAACACTGCTATATATATTGATAATTGCATCTACTATATAACCCATTTCTGTCTTTATATTTTTAGTTAGATAAAATTAGTTAAAAGTCTACTTTATATTTAACATTCACTTTTTTAAAAAAAAGTTCTGAGAGTAAACTAGGGTTTAGAAAAATAATACATAAACTGGTAATCAAAATTAAGGAAAACCAGAGCAAGTTACAATTTGAGAATGCCAGTCCTATCTCCATCAAGTTCCTAAAATTTTCAAGTGGAGCAGTTAACAAAGTTTATTTTTCTGAAGTATATTTACTTTTCTGAAGTATATATTAAGGTATTCTGAAATACCATAATATATTCTTTTTAAAATTTTTTGTTGATGTTCAATTTCATGGAGGAAATAGAACTAAAAACAAACAAACAAACAAACAAACAAACAAACAAAACCTCACCTGAGGATATGTTTTTATTGATTTTTAGAGAGAGAGGAAGGGAGAGACATTGATCCATTACCCACCATATGTACCCCAACCAGGGATTGAACCCTGTCTTCTGGTGTATAAGTTGATGCTCCAAAGCAACTTAGGCAGGGCCCATAATATACAATACTTTTAAATCTCAGCTACGGAGATCCAGAATGTTCCTAGTTCTGTCCATCCTTGGCTTCCTGTGCTGTTAATTCATCATTTTTCTTCTGCTCATTAACTATAGCAGTGCACTTAAGATTTATTATGACCTTGTTCTTTTTACAATTATTCCTTTTAATATCTCATTAACTAATATGCTTTTAATGCTGTCTTTTTGTCCAATTTCCAAATCATTACATCTATATCTGAATTTCTTACTCTTTGCTTTGTCAATAGGACACTTGCCTAGGAGATGCTGGTGTCAACCCACATCACTGTCTCCCTTCAAGTTAGTGGTGGAATACAGGTCCCATACATCTCTACTGCTTCCTGCATTCACAGCTAGATTATGCTAAACCTTCTGGGGGCAGGTCAGAAGTGCCAGAGACTTAACACCAGGCACAACCCTCAACAATGAAGAAAGGTAAATTAGTGGATAGATACATCAACTTCCATGCCCCTTGGTGGGACAAGTTTGAGGCAAGCTCTACAGAGTCTCTCCTAAGTTCTTCAGTAGGACTGAGCCCCAGTCCACAGCAGTAACCTGTTCATTGATGCATCTGTTTCCTGGTTTTTATGCATTATTTTCCTACTTCTTCACAATGCTTCCTGGGACCATCTCCCAGATGAGTTATTTATGCTCAAATCCTTACCTTAAGAACTGCTCTGGGATAGTGAGAGGTGATGCGGCTAAGACAGTAGTTCCATTAAAATTTAAAATATATTAAACATTATCATCCTCTCTCAAATGTCTTTGGTTAACACTCCAATTTCTTTGATTATCTATTATCTCACTTCTTCCCTAGAGAGATACAGGGGTATGAGGGTTTTAGAGACAAACTTGACTCCTGCTCCCTGTTTTATGGTATCATCCCAGGTGAGTCATGTATCTCTTCTATTTTGTATATATAATACTTCCCAAGGCTCTGGTAAGCATCCAATAAAATAGAACAGGCAAAACACCTTTTATTTTGTCTTCATCCCAATATAATGTAACAGTTTCAAACTTAGGTAATAAGCTACAACTTGCTTTGGTGAGTTTTTTCCCCCTCCAATAATTTCCTTGAATCAACTAAAAATGTAAGTGAAAAATCTCAAATAATGAGAGTATTTTTTAAATGGATATAAATTAATTACATGTCAAACTTTTTCTCATGAGTGTAATGTGAAGATGACTGCTCTATTGAAGCATATGGAGGATTTTGTTTGTCACACATCTTTAAAAGACAGAGCTCATAAAAATTATAAATAACATTCTCTTGGTCTAATATGAAAATTAGCACAAAATAGATAATTTATGATATTGACTAACAAAGATATCATGAAAGTCATTTATTTATCCAACAATCTAGGACAGAAATAGCATTAGGTATGTCAAAGGGAAAGAGACAAAAGAGAAACTCAAGAAATAATTATGTTATTGACAAGTATTACAGTATTAAGGGTGAAACATTAATAATGTCAGTTCCTTCTCTATAGCTTCCTACAGACTACAATAAAGTAGTAATATTAAATTTGTTGTTTTGTATTGACTCACTTCTAAAACACACCCTTTTTGTACTTTCATCTTTATACACATTACTCTCTTCTAAAATTTCCTCATTTTTCTTCAATATGATTTAGGGCTCAAAAGATTTTATATTGACTGTATTCACATTTAATTGTAAATCATGTCTTCAACAGTTGGTTTATATTGAAAGTGGGGAATGAATTCAATATCTATCTATAATGAATCAAATAAAGCTGGTAGGATCAGAGTCTACATGATCAGAGTCTGTGGATTTACAACAACATTATTAATATACGATTAATCAGTACCTAATGCGAACCAGTACATAGCCGACATCTAGTAAGTCTTTCTGTCTTATATTAAAGTCCTGTGGCTATGTTTCAGATCAGTTAAGAGTTTTGCTTATGATAGTGCATTGTTAACTTGCCATCTGGCCCAACAGCTGACGTGGCTCATGGAGGCCTGAAGAGAACCTCGCCGAAGCTTTACTCCTGGGAAATATTTGGTCTACTGTGTGGTGTCATCATTACTGGCTCACAGCTTTCTATATCCTTTGAAAAAAAAATGCAGAAAAACCTCTACACTGGAATATTTCTAAATTGAAATTGATTTGTTAGAAAAGAGTTCACTTACCTGAGGACCAGGCTGACCCTGAAATTGAAAAAGAAAAAGAAAGAGTTACAAGTGTGTTTTCTTCAGTGAATTGTTCAGTTAAAACTCAAACTAGTTCTGAAAACCTTTTCAAAATATCTCTGAAGATAACAGTCAATACCTAACTACTGGCAAACTTTACTTTGTGGTTTTAAAATCATATTATAGTTTACATTTTTATTCTATGCTATCATCTAAGATCTTGATATTATGGTCTAATACATGTAACTCCAAAATGACTCAAGGGTTATAGTATGCTCTAGAATCAAACTGCAGAAAGAGAAGGCAAAGGGAAATCTACCTCACATGGTCATAATGAATGGTTAGTGAAAGAGAGTGTGTACTCACAGAGACTATTACTATGAACTACATATTCCAAGATGTCACAGAGTGAAGGAAAAAAGAGGCAGATATCTTAGTTTTAGAACTCTCCAAGTCTTTGAATTTCTCATTGTTTCAATAATATTTTAATCAATTTTAAAAATAAATATTTATCTCCTATTGTGCATAATCCAACCTATGGGCATTTTGAAAGGACGGGAGGAGAGGGTTTGGCTCAATTAAGTGCATCATAACTCCTCAAACAGTCAATAGATTATGTAACCTCTGGCCAATCTAATTTATTTGGAATGTCACTTTCTTGTTTAAGCTGATAAAAACTTCAAAAACAGCATATTTGTATATGCTTGTCACTAAGAGAAAAACCACCTGTGAATAAAAGTATTGCTTACACATCACCTTCTTAAAATCTCCAGTTGGGTTTTGTGTAAGATAAGATGAAAGAAAAAAATTCACAGAGTAAAGGAATCTTAAAAAAATATATTAATAATGTACAATCTCATTGCATCAGCAATATACCAGTGAGTATTATTCAGGAAAGCATGGCGCGAATACAATTCCAAGAGAAAACTTGCTCTCTCTCAGCCTCTCTCTAAGCTTAGAATTTCTTTGATGATTTGTTCTCTTATGGGGGATAGAACAGATGATTTTCAAAGGCATTGTCTGAAAATGTGGCTGGGCCAGGTTTTGTGTAATCAAACCATGAAGGGGAGCTAAACCAGGCTGCTTGGAGGTTACTCACTCCACTCCTGTACTCTTTAGTGATGGAGAGAGAAAAAGAGAATAATATCCACTAATTCCTAACCAAATACCAGACACTTGGGATTTGTTTTTCCATTTACAACCTATAAACTTCCTTGCATTTTACAAATGAAGAAGCTAAGGCTCACAGAAATAAGTAAAAAATCACACAGTCGAGAGTTGGGGAGGCAAAATTTTAACCAAATCTGATTCTGAAGTTCATGCTTTTCCACCAGGTCATTCTGCCTTTTAGTCTGGAAGTTTAAGAAAAAAAGAAGTAGGCTTGCTTAGATCAGCAATGATAGTAGAGCACTCTTCAAGAGAGTGGACTTTCTAAACCTTCTATCCACTCCTTGGCTACAAAGGTGAACCTCTGCTTCCAGATACAGGCCTCCAACCAGCAGGACCTGACTGCTAACTGATGCCTGTCCAGAAACCAGGTCAGCACAGGTTCTGGTCGGGAACAGACAGCCCTAACATCAGCTCTCAACATGGAAGACCTCCATGGCAGCGATCTCCACTTACATGCAAATAGGGATCTTGCAAGATCCAGGTAATAGGTGAATCTGCAAAACATGCTCACTCTTGCCCACTCTCTAGATGTTTTAAGCTTCTAATCTTTCTGAAATTTAAAACTGGTGCAAACTCAGAAATGTAAACATTTTAAAAACCTTGGAATACATTACATCTCTTGTATGTTCTTATAAAAACACAAATGTAGGATTCTCCAAAATCAGGAAGAATTTCTTCAAAAGAATACATGTTAGCATTGTTGCTGAAATTTTTTGCTTGTCCTACAAATGAGAATTTTCCTGTCTATTTTAAAAATGTGGCATTTGTGTCATTACACTGAACAAATGATTTCAGCATAATGTGTGCATATATTTATGTTACTATATACATTGTGTTATACATTTTATATTAGTGATCATGAGAACAAATAGTAAATGTCGGTGAAATGAAAATGTTGCTGTATACTTTCTAAACAAGCATTGGAAAGCATAGAGCAACAGAAAACTCAGATTGCTCTAACATGTGATATGAGTTTCAGGTATGCATGCATGTATATGTCTTTATGTTTGTCTGTAGGGTGGGGAACTTTAAAAAAAGGGATGGAAGTGGGTTAGTAGAGAGGCTTCCTAAAAAAACGATGCATAAAGCAGACAAATTTGGTAACTCCCTAAAACATGGATTACACAATGCAATCCTCATAAATATTACCCAAGACTTTAGGACTGTCTGCACTCAGTGTGAGGTAACAAAATGTGCACTGTGGAATATTCTGTTTTTATTTTATGTATTGATTTTAAAGAGCAAAGAAGGGGGGGGAGAGAGAAAGAGACAGAGAGAAAAACATTAGTTTTTTCAGTTACTTATGCATTCATTGATTGATTCTTGTATATACCCTAGCTGGAGATCAAACCTGCAACCTTGGCTTATGGGACGAAGCTTGAACCAACTGGGATAGCCAGCCAGTGCCAGCTAGAATCCTGTAATCATCCTACAAGAGTCATCTAAAGCGGGGAGGTACTGTGGGCGTGGCAGTGAGTTTCCTGCAGGGTGCCCCAGCCTATAGGAGAGAAGTAAAGAGCCCACAGTGAAGCTGGTCTCAGAAACACCCTGTGAGGGACACATTAGGTGGTAGGTAATGTCTTCCTCATGACAAATCACAAGAAGAAACATCTCAGGATTTTCTGTGTTACTTCTGAGTAATTCATTGAGAAAAACAAGTATTTTCATTCATTAGTGGATATATTTTTTTTAGTCTATTGTAATTTATAGGTAGTGAATATTACTAATAATTAACTATGAAAGTTAATTTTTTCCATCTAAAATACTTTAAAAAAATGAATAGTTTATAAATTATGATGAAAACTCATAAAATACAACCTAATTGAATTTTTAAAAAGAAAATTCCTGGGAAGGAGCTTTTTTTGCAAACAAATCACCAAACTGTTACCACAAATAAAAACTGGAATCGAGTATAATCAAGAGCCATGCCAAGTTAAATCACAAAACACTGACCTTTAGAACAAACATACATGCAGAGATGGAGCATGCCTGCTGTTCCCAGGGGCTGATTTACTGAATGTCAACAGCTCAATGCAATGCCCTCAAGACAGCGAAGGCACCAGGGTAAAGGAAAAGAAAAACCAAGAGAAGCCGACTTTAAAAGTGGTAATCAGAACAGTGTGGTGGAAAACAATCAGCCAGTAGCTGATGCTTGACGGAAAAGTGTTCAAAACAAGCTGAAAGTTTTGTGAGGCAAGTAAACCACAATGGAAGTTGATAATGAGATGACATATCACTGGAGGATGTGCTGTTACATTAGCCCATTAAAGAGCAATATTCACCATTCTCTGTTGGGCTGTTATCACAAGTATGGTTGCCAGAAAGTGCTAACACTCTTCCTAAATCTACAAAGTCTTAGATTTCTGACTGAGACAATTAGATTCAATACAGGATACTTCTTTCATGGGTGGTAAATCTGTGGCACTCCTTTTCAGATGGGACAAATACTGCTTTTCCATTCCCACATGCACAGATAGGCACACAAAATTTGTACTTTTAACTTTTTAATATATTTTTATATATTTCAGAGAGGAAGTGAGAGGGAGAGAGATAGAAACATCAATGAGAAAGAATCATTGATCAGATGCCTCATGTACATCCCCTACTGTGGATTAAGCCTACAACCCAGGCATATACCCTGACTGGGAATTGAACCATGACCTCCTAGTTCATAGATCTATGCTCAACCACTGAGCCATACCCGCCGGGCTACAGTACAATCCTATTTTGAAATATTGATTAGGATAACAGACTCACATAAACTGATTGTGATAAATTTTAAATAAAGCCATTTCATTTACAACAGCTTGACTGGTATGGCTCAATGGTTGAGCATCAACATATAAACCTGGAGGTCACAATTTGATTCCATGTTAGGGCACATGTCTAGGTTATGGGCTCTATCCCCAGTATGGGGCATGCAGGAGGCAGCCAATCAATGATTCTCTCTCATCATTGATGTTTCTATCTCTCTCTCCTCCTTTGCTCTCTGAAATCAATAAAAATAAAAATATAAAAAAAAGAATTGTTCTCTAGTACATATTGCAAAGTTACAGGTATTGTTTGTTATTACATTAAATCCCAGACAGAAGTTTTGTCCCAAAATTCATTATGCTGCAAAGCCGCAAAGCCATATTGAGGAACACTAAAGTACTGAAATCATGAAAGCCAATGCATAGCAGTTCTGAGACTGACCAAGAATCCTGAAAAAAAAAATTTTCATAAACACTAAAAGGGATAGTCATGGGTACCACATTCTGACTTGCTGTTATGGCCAGTGCCACAGAACTGGCCAAATAAACCAGCATTGTAAGGGTGAACATGAGTATCTCCTCTTCTTTATACAATCATCTACCAAAGAACATTTCAGTCGTTTACATGTCTTGGCCATCACAAATAATGTTGTGATGAACATAGGAGTGAATGTATCTTTGCAAATAAATGTTTTCAAAATTTTCAGTCACATAACCAAAAGAGGAGTTGCTGGATAATATGGTAACTTTGTTCTTAATTTTTTCCATACTGTTCTCCATTGTGGCAATACCAGTTTACATTCCCACCAGTACTAAAGTACTAGACTGCTGATTGTCTTTATATATGAAAATTAACTAAAAATGGGTCAAAGACCTAATTATAAGACCTAACAATAAATTACATAGAAGAGAACATAGGAACTAAACTTATGTATCTTGGTCTTAGAAAGGATTTCATGAATTTGAAATGCAAGGAAAATAAAAACAAAAATAAATGAATGGGACTATAAAACTGAAAAGTGTCTGCACAGCAAAAGAAACCATCAACAAAACAAAGTCAACCACTGAATGGGAGAAGAAATTTGCAAACAACAC